GACCCCATTCATAAAGAACGTCACTGGAAAAAATCAACTCCCCCGCTAATAATCAAGAAAACATGAAAAAAAGAATCCCATTCTTTGTTCATATATTTCAATCCCAAATGACACAAGTAAGTAGCTCAAATCTAGATTCAAAAATTTGTTCAACCCCACAGTGGTTTTTAGTTTTTACCAAGAACCCAGAAAAATTCATCAAGAAAAGGAAAGAAATTTGTTCAACCCCACAGTGGTGGTTTTACGTCATTTTGTGCGCTTGAATTGCAGAAAGAGTGGACGTGCAGTGCAGTGGATAAGCAGCAGCAAGGAATAAAAGACTTACCGGGCATCGAGCAAAAAAGTCGGGCAGAAATTTACTTATGTGGGCGTGAAAACCCTAGTTCTGGATGTATAGGGATTTCACTTTTTTTCCCGTGGAAGCATATAACTTTCCTGCAATCAGAGAATGCGGAAATATGACAAAACCGCCATAGTTGATTGTGGATTTAATTTAAAAATCGCAAAGAGCGAATGCGGAAATAAAAACCGCAAACGTTAATTGCGGAAATCTTTTAAACCGAGAATTAAGAAAAATAAAAAATTATGTTTAATTTTATCAATCACAATTAATTAATAAAAATCGCAACAGCGAAATACGGAATCAAAATTACTTTGCAAGAAAGCTTTGCGGAAATCATGATGGATTGCGGAATTTATTATTTATAAATTTTTTAACTTAAACTAATTAAATTTTTGACAAAATAGTGATTAATGAAATTTAGTTGATTATTTTGTTATGCTGATTTTAGTCAAGAGCAGAAAAATTTATGAAATTTTAGGAAATGTATATTTGAATATGAATGCATAAAAAAAAATTAATCATTTTTGGTTAAAAGGGGAATGATTTTTTGAAATGATGTAAATGTTTATTAATATATCTTCCACATTGAAATTTTATTAATTTTGTAATAGACATATTATAATTTTATAATGTAACCAATCTATTACAAGCCAAGTAAACAAATTAATACAAAAAAAAAAAAACCCAAATACTAAATAACAAATTTGAACAGTAATAGATGTACTACTTGCGCTGAAACCAGCACCAATACCCCCACTTGAAACCCACCCCACTGCCCAATACAACCCCTTCCACCCCAAAACGGGAATAAAAACAAGAAACAAAAAACCCCAACACCCCCCAACCCAGCACCCCGCCACCTGAAACACACCCACTACCCCACTACTCGGTTCGAATTTTAAAAAAGAGTGCCGATTTCTTCTTCAAGTAAATAATACTAAAGTGACCACAGACCCAATTAAATTATAAAACAGACACCCTAATATTTGTAAAATAACACCTTTAACTTCTTTTCTTATTAGAACCATGTGCTAGTAAAAACTTTTTCATTTACACCCTTAATAATAATTTTTCTATTTCAACTTTAACCCAAATAATATAATATTTTACACAATATTGAATTTGTACCTCCTCCATCCCAAAATAATGTTTCACTTTAGTGTCAATGAACATGAAAATGAAAATCATTTGAAAAAAATAACGTGATTAGTGTGCTACTTAGTTTTACCTAATCGGAATTTGTTATTAATCAAATTTCTTCTTTTTACATATGTACTGCATAGTTTTATTTAAACGTAATATGTTACTAATCAATTTTATTCTTTTTCAATATGTAATAATTAGTTTTACTTAGAGCATCTCCAACCAAGACACCAAAATACTAAATTTGGTGTTTTGGTGTAAAAGTTTCATTCCAAGGAACACACTAAATCACTACACTATTTTGGTGTAATGGATAGTGTTACACCAAATTTAGTGTAAATTATCCATTACACTATTTTTAGTGCACTATCTTTTTACTTAGATCTAAAAATATATTTTCTATGCAATTAAACTTGTAAAACGAATTATGTTATAAAAAATATATCATATTAAATATTTTGTTGAGATCTTCAAAATAAGACCCATATTGAATATAAATTTTTATTTTTTTATAATTTTTAGCTATTATTAAAATTGAATATGAAAAAAAGTACAAAAATTTAATACTTCTACAATCAAATAAAAAGCGATTATAAGGAACAAATTTCACAAATTTATCACCAAATTACATGATTTTATTAACTACAAAAATAAAATTTAAACTAAAACATTTAATAGATAGACATTTTAGTGAATCAAGGTTGGAATGAAAAGAACTTTGGTGTAAAAAGATGCTTGAAATATTCTATTTGTGCACTAAATTTGGTGTAAACTATAGTGCAATGATTGGAGATGCTCTTAATTAAACAGAATCTGTTATTGATCAAATTTATTCTTTTTAGATATAGACTACATAGTTTTACCTAAATGGAATCTGTTATTAACCAAATTTGTTCTTTTTACGCATGTACTACTTAATTTTACTTAAACGGAATCCGTTATTAATCAAATTTGTTCTTTTTTCATATGTACTACTTTGTTTTATTTAAACGGAATCTGTTATTAATCAAATTTGATCTTTTCACATATGTAATAATTAGTTTTTCTTAAACGTGATCTATTATTAATCAAATTTATTCTTTTTACATATGTAATAACTAGTTTTACTTAAACGGAATCTGTTATTGATAAAATTTGTTCTTTTTACATATATACTACATAGTTTTACTTAAACGGAATCTGTTATATCAAATTTATTCTTTTTACATATGTACTACTTAGTTTTACTTAAACGGAATCCGTTATTAATCAAATTGGTTCTTTTCACATATGTACTACTTTGTTTTATTTAAACAGAATCTATTATTAATCAAATTTGTTCTTTTTACATATGTAATTATTAGTTTTACTTAAATGGAATTTGTTATTGACAAATTTGTTCTTTAGCCCTCAATATACTAAAGAACGATAAAATTTGATAAGCACACAATTCCCATCGAAATTTAACTATCTCAATGATCATATATATATATATATATATATATATATATCCGTTTCCATAGCCAATATAAAGTGTAGACATATTTATGCACACCGTCATCCCTCAAATACGTGCATTACTCAATTTAACCATTCCATACACGATTACATCATTAATATACAAATGCTAAAATACAACATTGACACAATTATCTACGAAGTAATAGATGTAAATCTAAACATTATTTAAATGGCAGAAAGCAAAAAAATTACCTAAATAATTCAAAGAACATTATTTTATAAAAGTACATTCTGAAAACCGCATAGAAGGTATGCGGTTTTTAGTTTCTTGTTTTTTTTTTAATTTCAGTTTGACTTTTCATTCAAACAATATTATTTTCCCGCCAGTTTTTTTCGTTCAAAATTAATTTATTTTTAAAATAATTAAATAGAAACAACTGCATTCACTCTATGCGGTTTTGACTTCTCTTCTATTTTGACTTTCTATTTTTTTTTACTAATTCCTTCCGTCAAAATTCCTTCAAATTTTAGTTGTTTTTTTTTTTAAAAAAAAATTAAACTACTTAAAACCGCATTCATGCTTTGTGGTTTTGACAACCATAGTTTGACTTTCCCTTACCCAAAATGAAGCTTTACGCCAATTTTATATATATATATATATATAGAGAGAGAGAGAAATTAATAGAAACCGCATTCGACGAACGTTGGCTAATTAATAGTTTTTTAAGATTTCCGCATGCTTTCTATGCGGGAAGGCTATATGCTTCTACATAGCTAAGACCTAGCACTATTTGAGTCCACAAATGGTGTTTTCACAACGACTAATCTCAAGCGCCGAAATATCGGGCATTAGCCTCCCTTTCGCCTCTCCGCTAATTTCATGCCCAATACCATCGCCAAAACTTCTCCACCTACGCCATCTCCAATCGCATCGCGGGGACCCCAATCGGAAAGCACACCGAGGTAAATTCAGACAGACGTTAACTTGCAAAGTCGTCGCTCTCTCCCACCACCTTCAAACTCAACTTTGATTTCTGAGACAGTCCGATGTGCGAAACGAAATCAATGTTGTCAAAAATTTAGGAAGAGGAGAGAGAGAGTTTCCATCGGCGGAGAAGATCGAAGGAGGAGAAGGGAACAAACAGATTGGGTGAAAATTGATTAGGTAACTTTTGCTTTTATACAAAACAAACAAAATGGAAGAGTGAAATCAGGTTGGGGGCTTTCGCTTATATTGGAGTTTAAACACGTCATTTTGATTTCGAAGTTATTAATTCTCTTAAGCCGTTTTGCCTTTATTCACCAAAAAAAATTAGAAAAAAATATTATTTTTGTGTTTATCTATTGATTATTTTATCCTTTCTTAAAATTACTGATGTCATCGAGAGTCTCTCACCCAATCAAAATATTAGTTTATTATTAGAATATAATTGGTGGTGGTTCTTTTTTATAAAAAAAAAAATAGGATGAAAAAACTTTTGATTAATTAATTAATTAATTATTAATTTATCAACAACTTATAATTATTTTTTGACAATAACAAATTATAATTAAAAAAGAAATACATCACCGTACACGTCACACAGCACATAACCACCAAAACAAATTCTTTTATTTATTTTCTTTTCTTTTCATTAAGAAATTAACTTTCAAATAGAAGTAGTTAATTGTCCCACAAGCCAAAACAATAGTTCACTTTGAGTTTGTAATTATACAAATCTGTGTCTCAATAAAATTATTCAAAATTCCATGTGCACTAATTTTATTTTTTTATTTTGTTTTATTTTATTTATTTTTATTTTTTTTGGAGGGGACAGTGAATCCTTATTGTACGAAAAAAAGAATTACAGTTAGTTAACAACAATAATTAGCTAAACTTTCGGCATAGAAGTTATTTACGATTCAAACTCAATCAAGATTTTGCCAAGCACTGTTTGCCCTATAAAAATATCGCATCTGAGGGTTTTTCTGATATTCTCTCGCAGGCGTACGTAAACTCTAAACCGAGTTGTACCTTTATATATAGTAGTAGTATACAATAATCAACGAAGAAGCAAGCAATACAGCGCCAACCATGTCTGAAGTAGATGGCAATAAATGGACGGCCAGGACTTTTACGCTGTTAATTCTCGTTTTGGGCTTTGTTGGGTTGGTTTGCACCACAATTCATGTGTTAATTACCATGATTGTTTTGGGCTATAATCACGGGCACGCTTCTCATGAGCTGAAGAGATTCCTTTTATGTTTTGTAGGAATTTTTTTATCTGTTTTGCTGTTTGCAGGTTTGCTGTGTGCTTTGCCAGGACCTTCTCCGGGAAAAACTGAACGGAAGAAGAAAGCAAAAAGGAACGACAACGTCCTGGGCGCCGCCGACTGTTTCTTGTTTCTTACAATGATGATCCTGACGTGGACTTCAAGCACAAGATATGGCTTATCATATGAAATGAAGGTTTTGTTATATTGTTCAGTAGAAATTTCGTTTTGTGTTATCTTCTTGGAAGTTTTGCTGCAAAACAACCCTAAGGAGTGGGACAAAATCTTGGGTGCGGAATGTAGTGACGACAACAACAACAACGTTACATCAAGGCTTTTGTGGGTTTTGATTGGGGGTTTGGACTTATGCATTGCTTTGTACGAACCAATTCGGGATTGGAAGTGTTTGTTGATGGTGGATATCGTGCTCATTGTCCTAACGATTTACTTGGTGTTAGCTGATTCTTATCGAGCCAACACCAAACACGCCGCAGTTGTTCTCGTCTTTCACTCCATTGTGACTGTCGTAATACTTATCAACCATAAAGTTTTGTTGCCGGAACTTGTTAGAATAGTTATCAACCATCCTCAACTCGTATCAGCTGCACTTCCTGCCTTGGCGGGCTTTGTTTTCTGGGTGTATTCGTTTTTTTCAATGAAGGCCACCAAGGTCGAGGGCGACGGTGGATATGAGAGTTTAGCGTCGACATTGGTTTAGGTTATAGTTCGTAGTTGTTCCAGTGCGATAGCAATTTCCTTTTCAATTAGAATATTTTACTTTATCAAATAAATCTTAGAGCAAGATGGCTTTTCATCCCCAACTCTTTAACTAGTATTTCCAAAATCTTGTGATGCTTAATTACGAGACCATTATGTTTTGCCTTAGATACGTTCTTAATCTGTTTATGACCAAGATTTATAGCTACGCACTGCATCTTGCTTAAGCTAAACTCTTGTCCAAAAAGAGACGCTAATTATTGATGAGATTGACGCCTTTTCATTAAAAAAAAAAAAAAAAAAAAAACTAAAGGGGTGAGAGACATAGGTCCAGAAGAAAGGTTAACACTTGATAAATAAAAGCAAATCCCCGACAATTTTAAGAAATTTGCCAGTTCCTGCTTCTACTAGGTCTACATGAATGGGTTTAGGAATCTGAAGAATGCTAACATCATTATGTCCATTTAAAACAATGCAAATGTTTGCTCATCAAATATGAAATCTATGTTATGTACATGTGGGTTGTTTCTTTTGTCTTTGAAATAAGAAGAATAAATTGTGCAAGAACAAATTCTGTTTTTTGACGGAAACAAATAAAGCGTTAACCCACATTAATTTGTCCCAAAAAAATATTAAGTTATTTTTATTTTAAGAAATTAAAAATGCCAAAATACCATCATTCCCCTCCTCCAAGATACTTGCATCACGTTTCTTCGAGAATCTATATCTTTTATCTTATATATATATATATATATATATATATATATATATCTTACTAAATTAGAAACAAAAACCACACTTAAAAGAAAGCATCACCATTTGCCATGTGGCATTTCTACATCATATTTTTAAAATAAATTTTTATTTACACGTCTCCTAAACTTAAAAGGCAAATGCAGTCCAAATCCATCTCTACCTCCTACTTTGGCCAAAACCAAAAAAAAAAAAAAAAAAACCACGGGTTCATTATAAAAAATCCAAATCATCATCCCCATCTCCACGACAATCGACTTCCTAATCAATCCCTTCTCCACAAAAAAAAAAAACAAATTCCTCATCAGTTATTAATTGAGAATATGTGGTGAAATATACTCATTTCCTATTAGCATGTTCAATCTTTTCATTAGTGATGATCAACTACATCCTAATCGCATAAAATTTTAACTTCAAAAAATATTCTTTACCTCTCTATATAAACACAAATGAAAAAAAAATTCTCATTGATCTTGCTTCGGTCATTGTGATGGTGCCATTACAGGTATTAAAATTTAGATGATTTTATTTCCACAGATTATTTGTTTGGTTTTTATTATTTTTTGTTTTTCCCGTTCAAGAACAGTGTTATTACTATTATTTTTACGCGTCCATCCGTTACAGCTACCGTAGCCATTATCAAGCAATATGATGTGATTTCTTATATGGTTAGTTAGCCTAGAATTTTTGTATAATTTTAGTTCTGTTTGGATTGAATTGATTAATTGGGTTTTGTTACAAAGTGTGATTTTTTAAATTTCTTTTTTATGTTTCATTCAATTAGAGTGGTTTTCTATTTTCAATTATGGAGTCTCAGTTTTTTTTTTTTCGTATATGGTCAGTTATGAAGTGTGTTTTTTCTTTGTTTAATTCCTTTGATTTTGTTTCATACTCCCAATTGCCCAATTATTATTATTATTATTTTATTTTATTTACAAATGGAGCGCGTTATTTTTTTTTATGTTCGGGCTTTCAATAATATACTTTTTTGGATTTGGTTTTTGGACTTTTTGGAGTTGCTCATCATATAAATAGTTCAGGTCGCTTCTTCTAACTAATTTATGGGGAAGCCTTTTATGAAATTGAGGTGGAGAGGGAAGGAATGATGTTTCTACGTTTATTTGTGTTTTTATACATCATTTTTACCTACAAAAAAAATAATAAATTTCTCAATTTTTAATGGTCTATCTTTTACTTTTTTTTTATTTGCCATAGTGAGGTGAGTTTTTTTTTGCTATACCTTGAAACCTATGCAAATTTACATTATTTTCATTCTCATATTTGTGATCAACCAATTTCAACTTAACCATTTTCAAAATTATATTATTGATATTTTACTACCTATAAACTTTTGAAAGAAATAGTTCTAACAATTAAGCGTATACCCTTTGGAGGAAGCTTACTACAAAGTTATTATAAATCTCTAAAACTAAGTATTGATATGGCACAATCAATGAAGAACATCAATAAATCATCTTACTAATATTTAAACTTATTAGGATGCTTTTATATTTTGTCTAGCATTTACTTCAAGACATATATTTGATCAAGTTTATTTATATTTAAGAAGTAACACTTATAAAACATTTCTAAAATCTTCAAACATTTCTAAAACTTTCCGGGCCAAATAAAATTTCTTTTTATGCCAAATACAAACATTTGTATGATCAATCTTATAAAAAATTTCTAAATTCTTCAAACATTTCTAAAATATATAGGGCCAAATACAAAATATTTTTTTCCAGATATAAACATTTCTAAGATCTACAGATATATTGGGCCAGGGTCGCGCATTGCGCGACCAGACATCACTAGTGTGTGTATATATATATATATATATATATATATATATATATATATATTAAAGGAGAGTTTTCAATCAGACACATTGTGTGATATTAGATAGACTAATCCACGTGGCGCAAAATTAGACACCCAATTTCACATGTGGCACCCACATCACTCCATCATTTAATGGTAATTTTTTATTTGTAAATTCGTAAAATTTATAAACCAATTTTACTTGGTTTAATCTTTTTGTTATTAAAAGAAAAATAACATTGACTTTTGACCACCAAAGTATTTCCTAATTCCACACCATGTCATCATTAATTTTTATATACCAAATTTGACCACCATTTATTATTTATTTATCAATTTGTTTTTTTAAAAAAAAGCGGTTTTTCAAATTCTACCTCCAGATTTTAGAAGTTATATACATTTATGCAAATATATAGTACGGCATGTCATGACCTGTGATGCAAGGAATTAATAAAAAATTTTCATAGAGTTTGAATTATAAATAAATAAAAATAAAAATAAAAAACCACTAATTCCGAAAAAGCAAAGGCCGCGTTAGCTAAATTAGTTAGAAATGATTTTCAAGGCCTCTCTTATGAATAGAAAATAATGGAGTCTACTTAATTAATTAACTCCAGATATCTTCTTCAATTTTTATTTTTCATTTTCGACTCAAACTAATTTTTGGTTTGGTTGATTGTACTATTTTTAATACAATATTTTTGGAGTAGGTGAAATCATGATCAAAACTATAAAAAATGGGAAAAACAAGTTAAAAATCTTTTCCATAAAGAAAAAAAGATGAATCAAAATTGACGGGATTTAAAACAAGTCAAATTAATATTATTTTTATTTTTCATTTGAAAACTTGATATCATTTTTTGCATTAAAGAGTTGTACAAAGTAACACCGCCCCTTTCACTCTTTAGTGATAATATATTAAAATTAAAAAAATAATAATAACAAATGATTATAGTTGATTGCATTGTGTAAAAATTACAGAAGAAAAAAGGTAAAATAGTAATAATACTAATAATAGAATTATATATTAATCGGCCAAATTTTTAATGGAATAAATTTTAAATAATACAATAATGTATTATATTGTATAAACCCTAATCGGCCAAACTTTTTCCCTACAAATACATGCGATCTAATTACGTTGATTACATTAATTCAATTACGTGCGAGTCCCATGTGGGAAGAGACGTGGTTTTTTGTTTTTTCAAGAATTCTGTGTAACTACTGAGATTGCTGCTAAGCAAGAAAGAATGAAGCAAACACTACATAATATGAAAAATATATAAACAAACTTTTAAAGAAAGGTTATAAAAGGTATATAGAGAGCGATGAAAAATAAAGATAAATTTATGAAAAAAAGTAATAAGAAAATTTTCTCTTTGAGGGAGAGTTTAGAAAGTATAAATAAAAATCTTCTATACCATCCTACGAAACTTCCTAAACCACTATTTAAAATTTATTATATTTTTTAATTCAATAATTACTTTCTTTAATTTTTTAAAATTTTACTAGCACTCTAATTCACCATTGCAGCCCGTTGGGACCATGTGTCAAAATCTTGGTGAGTGATATAGGAAGTATTGTAGGATTACAGTGTAGGAGATCTTTTACCAAAAGATATAACGTGAGTAAAAATATTTAGAGATTTTATTATGAAAATTAAGAGAATACTTTTAAAACATATAAATATATAAATCAACATAATGAAAAAATGGATAATAAGTACATTGGATTATTTTTTATATTGAAAATTATTCTAAATATACTTAAAATAACAAAACACATTCACATTAAAAATTACACTACTGCAATTCATATCATTAATATTATTATTTTTTTTACAAATTTCATTCCACCGGAGATGTCAAATATATCTTGAATAAGCCGCACAGTGTGCGGGGTGAACACTAGTATATATTAAAGTTGGCCACTTTTAAGCCATTTCCTTGAGCCACATAGGATGTCCGCTTGTCAATTTCTATTTATTTGAATTTTTTATTTCCACGTCATTACCTCATTCAAAACAAAATCATAACAAATATTTCATATTTACGAATCATTAATTCATTTAATGTTTAAATTGATTCCAAAATTATAATGTAAGGGTGAATAAAATATGATCCGTTAATTAATTAGTCGGATATGCATCATCGACTTTGTATATATTATGCTTCATGGGAGTTTCTCAAGAATCATCAAAAAGAATGGCTAAAAGGGGATTTATGGTTCGAAGCTAACCAAGAAGTTTGTGTTATCTTCTTTGTGTTTTGCTTATTTTATTTTAAGTTTTTATGGGTTCACAATTTTCTTCCAGGAAACCTATTGGAATCCACATAGAGGCCCAGGTACGTGACTCATTTAATATTTTAATTTTGATTATCAAATTGTGCAAGCATTAGAATTGATTGTCATTTAAACCTTTTCTTT